CCCCCCGCCCCCCCCCCCCCCCAAAAAAAAAGAAATAATAATAAACCCTAAACCCTAAACCCTAAACCTTAAACCCTATACCCTAAACCCTAAACTTCAATCCCTATACCCTAAACCCTACACCCTATTATAGGGGTTTTCGTTAGGGTTGCGTATCGGACTGGAGGGTTCCAGGTTGGACCCTTCCGAGATTTGAGGCTCTCGGTGTTGTTTAGAGTTTTCGGTTTAGGGTTTAGGGTTTAGGGTTTAGGGTGTAGGGTTTAGGGGGTTTCGGGTGCTGAGGATGTTTGGGGTGTTTTTTTTAGGGGTTTTAGGTTTCCAGGGTTTGGGGTGTTGAGTGTTTTACGCTTTTTTGTGCCGAGAAAAGCATGTTGGGTTTAGGCTTGTTGGGGTTAGGGTTTTCATGGCTTTGGGTATAGGATTTTAGTGTTTAGCGTTGGGGGGTTGGGGAAAGGATCAGCATTTTCCCACTCAACGTGGCTTTTGAAAGTGTTTTTCCTGGGCCGATTGTGGGGTTCGAGGTTATTGCATGGTCTACACGGGTTGAGACAAGTGGCAAAAGGCTCATTCGTTGAATATAGTAGACCATACCTCAAAACCCACCTCCTGTAATGCTTGGGTCATCGGGGGTGTTTCCAGGCAGAAGGGATGTTTCGGGATGTTTCGTACGAAAAAGCGATTTCGACAAAGCAGATGCATGGAGCTGCGTTAGGCATGTTGTGTACTGTGCACTCAGTGAAGCTCTGGTCAGGCATCAAGATGTAGAAGCTGCGCAGCGAGAGGACGCAATAAGACGTCCATGCCGGCCTTACATAGAAGTAGAAGCCTAGTTCCTTGTCCCCCCCAAGCCCAGTTCCAATGAATGCCCCTGCACTAAAAGCCTACAAAACCCTTAACAAAGTCTCATGAACACCGCAAAAACCCGTCAAGGCCCTTTTCTAGTTATTCTGGCCCCTTCGTTTCAATTTCTGTGTTGCCAGGAGATGTAGCTCAAAATGGACGCGCTGGCCTGCGAGTGTTGCATTGAATTCGGTCATATAGGGGCCTCTATGGTTAGAATATATTTTTCTTTTTTTTGGGGGGGTGGGTTCTATTCTATACTGTGGTCATAGTAAGGAACCCTTAGAAATAGTATTGGCAACTATTGAGGCCCCGAAATTAGCACGATCCACATTGCAAGTGCGATGGAGTAGTGTTTGCCATCAGTCCAAACTCCCCAGCAAAAAGCCTGAAGCCTAAGAGAGACGGGGCCTCCTGCTGGCGCAGACATCGCACGTTGCCTCGTGCGCGCCGTCAGCGCGCATCTTCATAGCCAGATTCTTTGAGCTGGGCTTTGGGGACAGGTCGGCCTGTGGAGTTCGCACAAGCACGTCAGAACCCGGCGGATTAAGTGCTGGCAACTGCTTTAGTCCTAGAGGTGCCGCATGGTGCCTCCGAAACTCAGATGGTGCAAGATGCATGCGCAGAGATTGCGGTCCCCTGAAGAGCCGAGCGCTGCAACGCCTTCTTCCTGTCCCGCTGTTCTCCCCAACCCATACACAGATGGGACACCAGACAGCTTTGTACTCCTTTTCCCTATCTCCGGACCAGCTTGCTGGTTTCTGTATGGCATCTGCCAAAGGCAGACTGCCGCAGACAGGCGGTGTCTCAAAACGTTCAGGTTTAGGGTTAAGTACTTAGGGTTTGAATGCGTCCGTTTGGATCAAAGTTGTGTGAGTGAGGACGGCGGGAGTGGATATTGTTGCAGTCTCGTGTTTGTCCAACTCAAGCGGTGGGCGCCGTATGACTGGAGTTGTCAAGAAGTCACTAGGTATGTAACATGAGTCCCGGTATGATGAGTACACACCTGCGCCATCTACACCCCTCCCCCCCAACTGAATCAACTATGAAGGACCCTAACTGACCGGACATGCTTCCTGCCTGCTCCTTTCTTTCCATGATCAGCGCATCACGCAGAACCCGACAAGGACGAATCTGAGGAAGCCCTGCACAGCTATACATCCTTCTAGGCAGAAGCCCCTGCGCAGAATCCTTGCTGCATTGTTTCACTACATGCTAGATACTTAGTTTTGCAATGGTCTGCGGAGGGCAGCACCATGACGAAAAACTTGGACTCCACGTTTCTTGAGTGGGGCCCTCGGCATGCGCCATTGTGTTAAGCAGCGGAGGCCTCGACAACTTGCTTGACTTGATTGCCATCTCTACAGGGCAGTCTGGCAAAAGTCTCGTGCAAGCGATAGCCATGATGAGAATGCTTCATTAGGGTTCATGGTATTCTGCTAGCCAGCCTTTTGGGTGGCCGAGGGTGGACCAACGCATCGTTGAGGAGATCTCCTGCTATCGGAATGACCAGCGCGACAAGGACGAAATTCTTAGCATCGTCCAGGCCTCCGGAGTGCACTGAATCTCTACGTTAAAGGCAGCTGGGCTGTTTGTTGTCTGTCATGAACCCCAAGTAGGGATCCCTCTAGACTGGTTTTGGGGTTTATAGGGTTTAGTCGCAACTTGTAAACGAACGCAGCTCCTCGCACCAGAAGCATGGGTGGGCGCTGCGCTATGCCCCACCACTCTTCAAGTATTCGGAAGAGATCTGCGCCTGTCGCCCAGAACCATTGCAACATATGACATGATTTGGGTGCACGTCGGGGGTTTGGTGTATTCAAACTCTACAAATAGAGGTTGTCATGGTCCTGTGAGCCCGCAACATCAGAATTCAAATACAGAACCCTCATAAACACCCATGGCCTCTTACCCTATAAACCCCAAACCCTAAACCGCTCTTAATCAGGTTCCTGTATCAGGATGTCGGGTTCGGAGCTTCTCTCTGATAAATACCGTGGTGCCGTTCGGGGTCGCCGACTGCCCAAAGAGTGCAACATGCCAGAAATCAGCCCTAAGCCCTACACCTTAGTCCTAAAATGGTAATGTAGGGGCCTTCATAGTTAGAATGGGAATCATAGTACAACACGCCCCCCAACACCCTATTCTCATTGTTAAGGACCCTGCTATAGAACCCTATCGTAGATCCCTTATAGAACCCTTTAAGGGATCACTTCAAAGGAACCCTATTCTAATTTATTCAGGCCCCTCTATTACCCCTAAACCCTATAAACCCTATAAGCCCTATAAACCCTATAGACCCTAAAGACCCTATAAGCCCGATAGACCCTATAAGCCCTATAAGCCCTATAAACCCTATAAGCCCTATAGACCCTATAAACCCTATAAACCCTATAAACCCTATAAACCCTATAGACCCTATAAGCCCTATAAACCCTATAAACCCCTGTAGACCCTTTAAAGCCCTACAAATCCTATAAGCCCTATAAGCCATATAAACCCCTGTAGACCCTTTAAAGCCCTATAAATCTAAAATTGTAGAACCCGGAATATAAGCCCTATGAATCTAAAATTATAGACCCTATAAACCCCTATAGACCCTATAAGCCCTACAAATCTAAAATTGTAGAACCCGGAATATAAGCCCTATAAATCCGGAATATAAGCCCTACAAATCTAAAATTGTAGAACCCGAAAGGTCGCCGCGGTGAAGTCATATCCACTGGTCCTGGAGTTCATCTCACCAGACATGCGGGAGAATGAGAAGGCGGTGCTGGCTTGCTTAGGGTTTAGTTTAGGGTTTAGGGTTTAAGGTTTAGGGCTTAGGGTTTAGGGTGTAGGGTTTAGGGTTTAGGCTTTTTGGGGCTTATAGGGTTTAGTGTTTAGGGTGTAGGGTTGAGGGTTTAGGGTCTATCCCGAGCCCATGAAAGCCGTAAACCCCAAATCCGCAGAGCCTCGGAACCCTAAAAACCCCAATACTAAAGGAGCCTAAATAATTACAAGGATGAGTTTGCGGGGTTCCATATTATGATTATACGAAAATATACCCCCAAAACCCTATTCTAATTATTGAGGCTGAAACCCTAAACCCTAAACCCTAAACCCTAAACCCTAAACCCTAAAACCCTAAACCGTGCATTACCCCAAAGCCCGCAGATCCTCAAGCTGCCTCAGACTCAGGTGGTTAAACAGGCTGTGAGCCAGTGTGGGATGGCCCTGCTCTTCGTCCTGAGCTCAGTAACATCCCACTTGGGGTTGAAGGTTGGAGGTTTTGGGTTTAGGGTTTAGGGTTAGGGGTTCAGGGTTTAAGGGTTTAGGGTTTAGGGCTTTAGGGTTGTAGGGTTTTGGGTTTGAGAATGTTGGGTTTTGGGGTGAGGGTGTTGACGCGTAACTCCCTATAGTTCCAAAATCCAGCACTGTGAACTACAGGGTCTTGGCGGATGTTGCTGCCGAGTTTCGAACCTGCACACCCTACACTGTAATAAAGGGACCTGAATAATTACCTACATTATTTGGGGGTTCCTTATCATCATCATAGTAGGATATACCCCAAAATCCTAGAAACCAAATTCTCGAGAATGATTGTCGCACTCATGTCCTTGAACCAGTTTGGGCACAGGCTGAAAGATGTGCCTCCTGCAATCAGCTGATTAATTATTCTACTGAGCCACGCAATCTTACACGCAGATGCCCTAAACCAAAAGACTTCCCTGTACAGATTTTGGACTCTTGGTCCCAAAGATCGATGCAATGCTTCGGCTTCTGCACTCTATTTGCAGCAAGTTGTAGATGTCTTCTTTCCACGTGTATTCACACATTCTTTGAGGATG